CAATTGGTTAGTTGTTTAAATCCTATAACAAGTTTGCCTAATGACGGATGCACATGCAAAATTGCAGAAAATCCTATAGACATGGTATCTATATGAAAGTGCAGAAAATTCTATAGGCATAGTATGAAAATACAGAGTTCCTACAGACATGGCATCTATATAAAAATGCAGAGTTTCAGTGATATGTAAAACGCAGAACTTTTAGAGACAGTAATTCCTACAAGCATGATCTCTAGATGGGATACAGAATTTTAGAAATAATAACCCCTATAGGCATGATATCTACCCCTTGCATGCATAGTTCCCTGCCTTTTTCCACTAGCCAATCCCAAATGTTTATTACAAGATTATTGCAGACAAGAATCAATCAAAATAAATAAATAAAATACATCCGAAATCAGAATTCCAACCAAGAAGGGCCTAATTCAGACTCCCAGTCTGACATATGTAGTAAACCAACTTTCAAGGATCCAGGTTCCGAAGCCTTCTCTTATTTGGGATGTGTCAAAGTTCCAAGGAGCTTCAAGAGCTCCAAGCAGTGCTTACACCCCAAACATCATTCCAGAATTACAGTAAAGTGTAGTGCGGAAAAGCCAGCCCTCAAATGTCCAAGTTCAGAGGGAACTCAAGGTCCTAAGGTAAGGCTCATATGAGAGGGGCAGAACTTAAAGTCTAAGAGTAAGTGCAAGTGCAGGGGAAATGATAAGTTGGTGGTCATGCCAAGCAATTTGAAGTGCTGGCACACCCCTGACCAATTTGTTATTTTCAAATTGAGGAGTTATGACTTATTGAAAGCCAGGTTCAGGCCTAGATAGCCATTTAAAGGCTACCAAACCATAAACTTTAACTCAACATACATAGGGGTAATGATAGGGAATTCATACCAGAAACAGTAAACAAGGAAGAGGGGGCAAAGGGCATGATCAGCAATGAAACATATNGAAGAAACATTTTCTAGAAATTAGGGTATTTAGCAGAGTCAAACTAAAAAACAGTAAAAGCATAGAAATCGGTTAGAATAAACAACGAAAAGGTTTTAATCATAAAGAAAATCAATCGAAGCATGCATAAAAAGAAATCCCAGAAATCCTAATTTCGAAGAAAGTAAAAAAAATGGTTCAAAGCAAAGGATCTTTCAGAATAAACTCGAGAATAAACAGAGCACAGAGGAAAACATGAGAATAGCATGAAATGGCACCGTTTTTGAGAGATTCAGGAGAGAGTTAGGGTTTCAAAAAAAGAAACCTAATAGAAGTGGGAAAAACCTGTCGTGAGAACTCGCATATAGAAGAACCAGGAACCCTAGGTCTCAAATTGCCATGGTCCATAAGCCTCGAAGGTCCTCGATGTGTTGAACATGATGATGAAAGGTCCATCGGAGCCTTGGGGTTGAAAGGAGGTGGTCGGAGATGGTCAAGAAGGCGGTGGATTCATCGGAGAAAACCAGAAGGTTCTAGAGGGAAGGGAGAGCAAGAGTCAGTATNGGGGAGCAAGAGTAGTATAGAGAGAGAGAGAGACCGTCTTGGAAAATGAGGGGTCTGGGGGGGTTGTTGGGATTTAATTTTAGGAAATAAAATCTGGGTCGTTGATCTCATTTGATCAACGGCTCAGATTAGATCGGAGCTGGACCGGGTAATTGAATTGGGTATGGGTCGGGTTCCTATTGAAATGGGGCTGGAAATTGGGCCAATTGAGGCTACAATTGAAAGGTAGAAAGGCTGTTATTGAAATAAAAATAGGCTAAGTGTTAAATAGCCAATTTTCACCTTTTATTTTATAAAAATAGTAATAATGATTTTAAAAGTAAATTAAAAATACTGAGCAAACAAATACTATATAAATATCACTTTAAAAATATTGGAACCAATTTTATAATTATAAAATGCTATTAATCATAAAATAGGCCATAATTGCAATTACATGCAATTAGTTTAAAATTGCCAAATAAATTTGTAAAAAATATGCAAAAATCACCTTAATTATATTTTGGTGTAAATATGGGAATGAAATACGTTATTCACCAAAAATAATAATTTTGGATTTTGTGGTATTAAAATAGGTAGTAAATCGGTTTAGAAATCGTTAAAAAAATACTAAAACCCTTGGGTGTGCTTATCTATGCACATACATGCTATTTTGGAAGTATTTTGGGTACAAAAATACATAGGAAAAAATTGGGTATCAACAAGGAACATGCAAACTAATGGACCTTAGCTCATAATATGAGACTTCAACAGTGTGCTAAATGTGGATGATAGGGTGAATGGAAGTTTAGTTCATCAAGCAGAAATGATTGATTTTCAAAAATGACTTGATGATATTGGAGTGGGACAAATCACAAAAAGAGGTAGTAGATTTTCAAGGAGTAATAAAAGGGATGCAGAAATCAGAATATACAGCCACACAGATTGGGCTTTTGGGAATGCTAATTGGTTCAATGCTTATAATGGGGTAGAGGCAATATACATGCTTCCAGAATGCTCAGATCATACCCCTATAATGATAAATACTGAGGTGGTCAAGGTTAAAGTGAAAAGGCCTTATTGGTTACTAACTTCAGTGATGCAACAAAGAGGGTACAAGGAAGTAGTCCAGAACACTTGGAGTCAAAATATTCAAGGATATGCAATGTATTCTGTATGGAAAAAGCTGAAGCTTATTCAGAAACAAACAAGGGATATTCATCAGGAACATTCCTCGGTTGATCAAAAGCTGATACAATTTAGAGAAACATTGAAGGAGATACAGGAAAGCTCAATGATGACTACTTCAACAAGCTGCTGATAGAAGAAGAAAGAATGACCTTAAAAAGCATAGAGGAATGGGAAACAATACAGGAGCAAATTATGAGGCAGAAGTCAAGAGCAACATGGATCCAACTGGGAGATTGTAACACCAAATATTTCCATGCCTATATGAGGGCCAGACAAGCAAGAAATAAGGTGAGTTGCATCTATTCTGAACAACAGATGAAGATCACTGAGCCAAAACACATTCAGAGAGAATTCATCCAGTTCTTTCAGCAACTACTGGGGACAGCAGCGGATGAACTACCAAGGATTGATGTCAATATAGCAAGAAATGGTCCTTGTCTAACACTGAATCAGTAGCAACAACTATTACAAGTAGTAACAATAGAGGAGATCTGCCAAATTGTGAAGAATCTACCTAATGACAAGGCACCAGGTATGGATGGATACCCTGCTGAGTTCTTTAAGGAATACTGGCCAATCATTGGAAAGGAGGTCATAGAAGTAGTACAACAATTCTTTCAAACTGGCAGACTATTGAAAGAAATTAACTGCACAACTGTTACATTGATTCCGAAGGTGAAAAATCCTAGCTATGTGAAGGAGTTTAGGCTTATTGCCTGTTGCACAATAATGTACAAGATTATTGCTAAGATACTGACAAATAAGCTTAAACTAGTTGTGGATCTATTGGTTGGACCTTCTCAGTCTACTTTCATAGAAGGGAGAAATATTCTTGACAATGTCATAATGGCTCATGAATTGATTAAAGGGTATTTTCAAAAAGCAGTCTCTCCTAGATGTATGATCAAAGTAGACATGAGAAAAGCATATGATTCGGTTGAATGGAGTTTTTTGAACGCAGTACTGCTTGATTTTGGTATACCATACAAGATGGTAGCACTAATCATGGAATGTGTATCTACATTCAGCTATACTCTACTACTGAATGGTGGACTAACTGATAAATTTGTAGCAAGAAAAGGGCTAAGGCAGGGGGACCCTATGTCCCCATAATTGTTTGTCAATGGAGTACCTAAACAGATCTCTGAAGACACTGACTCAGAACCCAGACTTTAACTTTCACCCTAAATGTGCTAGACTGCAAGTCATACACATCTACTTTGCGGATGACTTACTGATGTGTTGTAGAGCAGATGAGGTATCAATGAAGTTAATGATGGGAGTTTTTGATCACTTCTCCAAGGTCTCAGGTTTACAAGCAAACTTGGAAAAAAGCTCATTATATATAGCAGGTGTGCCTATGGAATTCAAAGACAGAATGTTAGCAGAACTTCAGCTATCAGCAGGCAGCATCCCATTCAAATACTTGGGAGTTCCTTTGTCCTCAAGGAAAATTACAATCCACCAGCGCATGCCATTAGTTGAGAAGATTATGGAGAGGATAAGAAGCTGGACATCAAAGTTCTTGTCCTATGCTGGAAGACTACAACTCATTAAGAGTGTCCTGTTTGAAATGCAGACCTACTGGGCTCAAGTATTTCTTATTCCAAATAAAGTTATTAAACTTGTTAATGGTATATGCAGGAACTATTTATGGACTGGTAGTCATGAAAATACTCAGGGCTCTTATAGCATGGGAAACATTGTGTAAGCCAAAAGCTGCTGGGGGTCTAAACATTATCAACTATGAGAGATGGAACAAAGCTGCTTTGACTAAACTCCTCTGGGCTATAATGGCAAAGAAAGACAAGTTTTGGATTAGATGGATACACTGCCACTACATAAAGCAGAATGACATCAATACAATGGAGGTCTTAAAGCAGGCTAGTTGGCTAGTAAGGAAACTGTTTACAACAAGAGAATGGTGGGCTAATGACATACCAACAATTGAATCCTTTGTTCAGAATGGGAGATTCAGCATTCAAAAGGCTTATCTTCATGCTACTCCAAGGTACCCCAAACACTAGTCATGTTGACTTGAATACTACCAAAGCAGCAATTCATTTTATGGATGGCAATACAAAGAAGGCTGGCCACAGTTGACAGACTAGCAAAATGGGGAATTCATGTGACTCACTCTTGTGTACTGTGTGGAGGTGACATAGAAGAGACACATGATCACTTGTATTTCGAGTGTCCATATTCACAAAGCTTATGGACAGGAATGCTAGAATGGTTAAGCTACCAGAGAAAGGTTGAAAACTGGGAAGATGAGGTGCAGTGGTTAACTACCAATGTAAACAACAGAAATCCAAGGAAAACTTTGCTAGGAGTGGTATTTGCAGCAGTAGTATATCACATCTGGATTGAGCGAAATGAAAGAAGATTTCAAAACCAGAGAAGAGAGGTCAAAGATAGAGCAAAAGACATTGTCATGCAGGTGCACATAAAAGGACAGAAGAAATGTAAATGGACACCAATATTGAGTACACTAAATAGTTATCCTAATTGTAATTCATAGCAACTAGGATAGGAAAAAGACCCATGAGCGTTATGGGATCTTAGTAAGCAGCCTTGGTTGCATAGGTTTTTTGTTTATTGGTTTCAGTCATGAGACCTGATCCTAGAGTCCAAAGTACATGTGATGTAAATTGAAAAACTGGTTGAAATAAAGTTTTCTTTCGACCAAAAAAAAATAATGAGAAATAAATGAAGAAAAATAAACAGAACACTATGAATATAAGCAATAAATATAAGTAGTGAAATCAGGAGAATGTGTTAAGTTAGAGAGCAGAGAGAATGTTCTTGTATATTCAATATTGTGTCTTAGATCACAATATGACAAGGATCCCCTTTATATATGAGGGGGAATCCCAACATAGTACAAATGCATTTATTACAAAGACATGGGGCTGGTACATCCATTTAATGCTATGATACGGTTCTGAACTAGCCTACTAGACTTTGTCAGCTCTTATCACGCGCCTTGGGAACCTCACATTTATCCACCGTAGCCGCTGATTTTACATTGCCTCGAGGTCGATCACCGAGGACACGCGGGGTCGAAATACCGAGCTGTGCTTCGAGCCTTCTGGGGGTGGTCCTTACAAGGCGCTTTAATGATCATAAAATCGGACCACTAATTTGTACCGTATACATAAGTAGAATCTACACATTCAAATAAAATGCTCAACAATATTTTAAAGAATTACATATATCAAAGAAATTTAACACTCTCACAAAGAAATCACATGCATGCAATTGGTACCATAGGCTTGCCCTTAATGTAAATCTCTTCTAATGTAGGCTCGCTTGATCTAAAATAAATTAGGAATTTTTTTATGGTTGTAATGTGGGCTAAAGGAGAGGAAGGATATATTTAGGAATAGTGGCTAACACTCCTAAGCACTTTGACACATCATTGTAAGCGCAAATTCTTCAATCGAAATTTTAGTTTCACAATTAAAATCATCCTTAACAACATTCCCTCTTTCTTAAAGCACTATCGCCATTTACACTCCGCTAGCAAAAAAAAGATATTTATTCATCTACATTTTTTTCCACTTTTCTTTTTCTTTTTCAATCTTCGATAGTGGTGTATTATTTTACAAAACAAGTGCACCTTTCTTCCTTTCATTGGTTCCACCCAAAAGTCACCCCACACTTAGTCCCTTCTTACTTCTTTTAGCGCTCATTTTACAATTAAAGTGCTTTAAGAGGTAAAATGATTAAAACAATGTCGATTAAGAACAAAAAGGGCATAGGCTTATAATATGGGTGTCAAATAAAGGTTTATAGGCTCAAAAGGGTAACTAGGAATAAAATATATATATATGGTAAGCAATAATCTCAAAAATATCAAAGAAAGCCTAAAATAATTTCTCAAACCGAGCATTACCTAAACTTTTCGCTTCAACTCACATATCGGGCAAGTTCTAGACACAAGTACAATACATGAGCTACATAAAAACCTCACCACACATGGCATATGACTCATTAAGTTCGGTCTCCTTCCGACTCTCAAACAAAACAAGTATTCACGAAGCCACGAGATATTAAGCATTAAGCACAAAGTAAACACAAGTCAAGAAAATGAGACATAGGCATCACAAAACATGTTATCCAACTAAGCAAGGCATCATCAATAATTTCAAATCATAGGGAAGATACTACACGTGCCAAAGCCTAAATATGCTATTATCAAACAAGTCAAAGGCGCCTAGGAATCTCATCTATCTTCCTTCATTTATTTCATTCCTACTTTACTCTACAAATTAAAAAAAAAATATTACCTGGTTCAAACTACATCCCATGGAAAAGAACCGAGGCACAAAGAAAAACTACAAGGGATTATTACTGTCTCAGGAAAACAACAACAAATTTTTTTTTGAATTTTTTTTTTTTGTATTCTTGGTTAGGCTTTAATCCCTCAAGAAAATTGTTAGGAGATCCATCATGGGGAAAAGTTCAAATTTTCTACCTTTTTTGAATTTTTTATTTTTCATACTTAAAAATAAAATAAAATAAAGCTACTAAAATACTACGCCATTAATTTACTAAATATGCATATAAAAATAAGAGGCTAGCTAACAATAAAAAGATAAGAAACTAATAATATATTAATATAATACTATACAAACCACCGAGAATCTTCCACCCCACACTTAAAACAGTGTAGTATCCCTAATGCACACAAAAAGAAAAAATAACAAAGATGGACAAGAAACTCCTTGAAAGGCCAAAGGCCGAAGAAATAGCGGCTCACGGGGTACTCAGACTTCTTCTAGGCATGATCCTTTGTGCGGGCACCCCACACTTAGTTCCAACCATCTGGCTCACTTTTGCACACTACTTATGGTTTCGCTCCCTATGCTCAATATCCTACAAACTAAAACAACACTACACAAATAATACAATAAGAAAAAAAATCAAGACTAAAAGAAAGCAGTAAAGTTGAGTTGCCTCCCAACAACTGCCTAATTTAAAGCCGCGACATGACTTGAACTACTTTTTGCCTCCAACTTGAACTTATTAATTGTACCCCTAATTTGGCTTCAAGCTTTCTGTTATACTCCCTAGGCAGCGAGACTAATTTAAGTGGGCTAAGCAACCAATAACGTGTTTTACACTTCTTGGCCTTCGGACGAGGTATGTAATTCTATCTCTCTAGCACGACGAATTCAAGAATGTAAGCACCTCGTTCCTCGTCCATGGCTCCTCCAAAGGATCAGATGACTCGATTTCCATGTCATCATCCAAACACAATGTTGAAAAATGTATGGAATGAGGACCAATACGCCCTAACTCTAGAATTGTATTACTCTTTACATCCTCATACCTACATGCACTAGAATCTTCAGATATAACATTATTTGCTTCCTCACATTGCTCTAGTGTACTTTCTCAACATAGGCATCATCAATAAAAATATGCTCGAATGATTGGCTCTCCATATTTAGCTCCTCAATTTGGCGTATAAGCTCCTTTTTCAGCTTCACACAACTCATTACTATTTTGTTGGGCATTAAACGCATCAACCTTTGCATTCAATTGAGCCTCAAGGTCGTGAATAGCAGTGCTAAATTTATCGATTTCTTGTCTCAGTTCAGCCCTTCCTTCTATAAAGTGTCTCATCCCATTAGTAATTTCCTCACGTTGAGCCTCATATATTTCTAATTTTTCAAATTGTTTCACTAGCCATGTTTGCCTCAAAATCTCTTCTTTTTCAAAAATTTCTTCTTGCTGGTATTCGCTCTCTTCATTCAATTCTTTCACATTGGCCTTCATTCCTGTGATTGTCGCCCTCATTCTTTTCATACCTTTTTTGAGTTCATCCTGTTGCTCTGCTACTTGCCTCAAAATATCCCTAATATATGCATCACATTCCATATCTTGCACTTCATTGCTCATATCAAACTCATAAACACTGTTAGAAAGATCATAATAAGGGATTAGAGAAGGATAAAAAGAATTAGGATAATTATCAATGGTCACCTTGACCACCACACATATTACAAATATTCCACTCAAAGGATTGAGATTGTGTGCACAACTCACTCCCGAGAATATTCTGATAGTTTTTCCACCAGTGAGGTCCTCCACAATATGGACAGAAATCATCAAAAATAAGAATAACCATCATTCGAATAACTTTCATTCCAAGATGCCATGTTAAAATTAATAAAAAATACTAAATAAACTAAAACAAAAAAATGAATGGATAAAAAGTTAAATATCTAATCTAGAAAAGTATCTAATTTTTAAGTCCCTGGCAACGACGCCAAAAACTTGTTGCGGCCAAACGCACATGCAAGTATACGCGGTCGTCAAGTAATAAAGTGACTAAAAGTCGGATGTCGAACCCACGAAGACTTCTTATTAACTATTAACTAGATTAGACTCTCCTAATTATCTAAACAAGAATTAAAACTAGAAGTATTTGATTCTAATCTAATTAAAATAAAAAGAAAACAATAATGAACTTCGAACAAAGAAGAACAGATTTTTATGTTATCAATGTGATGAAACGATTTACGGTTATGGGCTATCTAATATTCCTATTGTATTCTTCAATTAAATTGACTAACTAATTTATCTAGCATATTGGTTGACAGGGCTAATATCGTGCATAAGAATTTGTCAAGTTCTTACTCGCCTATTCAAGCCAACCTAACACCTATATGTCTATGAAGTTAGAACTAGCAAGAACGCATTTATAATTCCTATACATCAACCAAGTAAGGAAATTAGGTATATGTCTATCATAACTGCGAATCTGCTCCCCGATGTTCATGTTCAAGAACTTGCTCTACTCAGTCCTATATGCAATCTAGAATTCCCACTATCAAGTTCTACTCTAGATTCGTAGATAGTATTTAATTGGTGATCAAGCAATCCAGTCATTTAGTGTAGGATTGAATAAATAAACCAATATGATAGAGTAAGAAATCAAAATTAATTTCTGAATAACAATAGTCATGAAAGAACCACAACCCTAGAACGTGGAGTTTAGCTTCAATAGACATGGTAGTCAAACAACAAATCATACAAAGAAACATAAAAATTACTAAGTTTGGTGGAAGAAAATATGAAACCCGGCCTCCACGGCAGCTCTGTGGTCTCCCTTGATCAAAAGTCCCTCTCAAAAATGTTCTCCCCCTCCAAAATAGGTTTAGAACCCTTTTATAAAAGTTGGGACTATGTAGGCGGAAATAACCTTATCTGGCACGAAATAGGAGTCTTCCCAGACACAGCGTCCCGGCCAGCACCTAGCGCTGGACCTACCGCAAAAAACAGTAACGTTTTGCCGTTTTCACGTTCAAAGTCCTTCCTCACTTCAAATTGTATCTCCCCTTATCATTGCCCTACACTTGGGGGGCCAAAAGACAAAGGGTGTCCCCCCATTGTCTCCTCTCTTTTTTTTTAATTTAATTTCCTTTCTTTTTCCTCTGCGTTTTTTTCAATTTTGCTCAAAATCTCTTTATCTTCACACCGCTTTATTCCTACGTAGTTAAAATTTAA